AGGAAGGGGAGGCAGGCATTGAGAACAGTGGGACTAGGGCTGGGACCCATTCTATCTTACCTACGATCATGGGAAAGTCACCTAACTGTGCCTCAGCCTCCCCCATCTGACAAGGGAACAGGTTCTCTGAGGGCCTGGTATTCGGTTCTACCCTCCCTGGGTCTTCTGCAGGGGCTTCAGTGTGACATCTGGTGGTCAGAGCCGAATCTTCAAGCCAGTCTCCATCCAGACCATGTGGTAAGTCCTGCAGTAGCCCAGCCTTTGGCCAGCCTCTTCTTGGGAGATGGCCTCCAGGCCCAGGAGAGGGAACCAAGTAAGACTGTGTATCCCAGCCTCGCTTTCTCGTCCCAGGGCCACGCTGCAGGTACTGCACCAGGCCTGTGAGGCGGCTCTAGGCAGTGGCCTTGTGCCTGGTGGCAGTGCCCTTGTCTGGGCCGCTCACTACCAGGAGAAGCTGAACTCTGACCAGGGGTGCCTCAACGAGTGGATGGCCATGTCTGACCTGGAGTCCCTGCGACCACCTGTTGCTGAGCCTGGACAGTCAGTGCTGGGGGAGGGGAGGGGAGGGGAGGAAAGGTGGAGGGGCGGTGCCACCGTGAAGGGGTGGCCTCTTACTGAAGGATCACTACCAGGGCCTCAGAACAGGAGCAGATGGAGCAGGCGATCCTGGCTGAGTTGTGGCAGGTGCTGGACACCAGTGACCTAGAGAGCGTCACTTCCAAAGAGGTGGGCAGCGTGGCCGGGCCTGCGACTCACCTTTCTTTGGGGACTTTCTCACCTTGTCCTGAGGCCTTCCCCAGTCCCTCACTTCAGCTGTGTGAGGGGACAGGGTACCATCCTCAGAGGCCTCACCGGTGCACCACCCCATAGATCCGCCAGGCCCTGGAGCTGCGTCTGGGATGCCCTCTCCAGCAGTACCGCGATTTTATCGACAACCAGATGTTGTTGCTCATGGCCCAGCAAGACCGGGCCTCCCGCATCTTCCCCCACCTCTACTTGGTGAGTGCGGGCTGTTGGAGGTGGGGACCAGGTCACCCCTGCAGCTACCGTGACAGCCCAGGCCTCTTCTTCCACTCCCGTTCCACAGGGCTCGGAGTGGAATGCTGCCAATCTGGAGGAACTTCAGAGAAACAGGTAGAGTTCCCCGGTCTTCCTGTGGGGTAGCCTGGCCAGTTTCTGGAACGGTAGGTCACCCCACACTGCTGGTTTTGCTTTTAACCCAGTGTGGGGAGGCTGCGCTCTCGTGGGCTCTGAGGCCTCAGCAGCCTGCCATCTGCCCCGGTAAGCACACAGGGCAGTGCAGAAATGAGGTCTGTCTGTGCTGAGACCGGGGGTGCTGGTGGGCACGTGCCAGCAGTGCCAGCAGAGGAGGTTCCTGCCCACCTGGCCACCTCTTCCGGCAGAAGAAAATGCCTTCTAGTAGGGATGTGGTTGCCACTTCGGGAAGAAACCTGCCATCCCCACCATGGGCTTCGGGGAGACCTGCTGTAGCCCTTATCACCTGTTGCTGGGAGCCCCCTCATCCCAGCTAAGCTCGAAACTAACTGCAGTCAGGGTCACGGAAGAGGGTTAGTGTTGACTTAACACGGAAACTCGACCCACAGAGTGAAACAGTGTACCTACCCAAGGCCAGGTGGCAGGTGGCTGGCTCAGTCCTCTTCCTACTGCAAGTGTTCCCATCCCCTGACTCAGAACCAAGAACCCCACAGAAATGGCCAGTGAGCCTGGTTCCTCTGGCCCAGTCAGTCTGGTTTGGACCCTCTGGTACAGGGTGAGCCACATCCTGAACATGGCCCGAGAGATCGACAACTTCTTCCCTGAGCGCTTCACCTATCACAACGTGCGTGTCTGGGATGAGGAATCGGCCCAGCTGCTGCCGCACTGGAAGGAGACGCACTGCTTCATTGAGGATGCCAGGTGGGCTCCTCCCAGTCTGCTGCCCGAGCCCCAGCTCCCAGCGGAGACTGGTGCCCTCCTCCTGCCCTGCTGCCTCTGGTTCTGTTTCCTTCACTGCTCTCTCTGGCCTCACTGCCTTTCTCTGCTGGGTCCCCGGCCCTTACCCACCCCTTCCCAGTCTGCAGGCCACTGGGGTTGCGGGAGAGTGGACTGACCCTGTCCCGCCTCCCTAGAGCGCAGGGCACTCGGGTGCTGGTCCACTGTAAGATGGGCGTCAGCCGCTCTGCCGCCACGGTGCTGGCCTACGCCATGAAACAGTATGGCTGGGGCCTGGAGCAAGCCCTGATCCACGTGCAGGAGCTCCGGCCCATCGTGCGCCCCAACCCTGGCTTCCTGCGCCAGCTACAGACCTACCAGGGCATTCTGACTGCCAGGTATGGGGGAAGGGACGAGGGAGAAGGCGATGTGTGTACTGGGGGGTGGCTGATGTGTCACTCAAAGCTGACTCAGCGCCACCTCCTCACAGCCGGCAGAGCCATGTCTGGGAGCAGAAGGTGGGTGTGGTCTCCCCCGAGGAGCCCCTGGCACCCGAAGTTTCTACACCATTGCCACCTCTTCCACCAGAGCCAGGGGGCAGTGGGGAGGTAATGGTTATGAGTTTAGAGGAGACCCCGAAAGAAGAGCTTGGACTGAGGCCCCGCATCAACCTCCGAGGAGTCATGCGCTCCATCAGTCTCCTGGAGCCCTCCTCAGAGCCGGAGAATACCCCAGAGGCTGGAGACCTGCCAGAGGTGAGTCTGGGCTGGAGAGCTCGGCCCGCAGCGGCCTTGCCGAAGAGAATGTGGGAGCAGAGTGCCAGAGTTTGACTTGAGGCTCCGGTAGGTCCTCACAGTAGGGTGTTGTCCTCGCCTCCTCCATACTGACCACCTCACACCTTCCTGCGCCAGGCAACTCAGGACTGTCCTGAGTACCTAAAGGTGGGGACCCCGTTTGGGCTCCTCCTTTTATGCCAGGCCAGGGAAGAGCGGTGGTCCCAGGGTCTAAGCAGTTGCAGGTCTGACTGGGAACAAGAACAGTCCGGTCCCAGCCTGACAAACTGGCCCATTTCCCAAGGGGCTTGGCTCCTAGCTTTGGAGTGGGCATCTTCCTCAAGCCGTGAGCTCCACTGCGAGCTGATGGCTGGCAGGTCTTCCTGTACTAGAGAGGGTAGGTAAGAGCATTCCCGATGCCCTCCGAAAGCCGAGGAGCCACAGAGCCAAGTGCAGAGAAGGGCCTTTGTACTCACCCAGTGGGTTAGGAGGACAAGCATGTCGTGTGCTGAGAGTTGCTGAGCGCAAGCTGGGACAGGAAGCTGGCCCTTGCCTGAGGAAGCCAGGCCCCACGTGTGACATGAGGTCACACGGCTGACTCAGAAGGAGCCTGCAGGCACAGTGTCTAGGTGCTGGGTATGGACCATAGGGGGGCATGGGACTGATGCTGGGTTATTGTCCTAGGAGGCACCAAGACACTGGTACCCACAGAGCTCTTTTCAGGGCCTGGCCCCTGTCAGGGTTCCGCTCTGGCTCGCTGGATTGAATGTACAAAGGCAGAGGGGTGGGAGGAGAAGGTGGTGGAAGTCAGATTCAGTGGGCTAAGGGGCTGCTAGGGACCAGAAGAAAGCTGGGGTGGGGGTGGGCCAAAGACCGGCTGGGTGCTGTCTCCCCTGGGAAGTGTGGCCACCCCTTTCCTGGCTCTGAGCTCCCTGTGGCTCTTCTTCCTCCCCCTCCAGGTTTTCTCTTCCCATGAGTCTTCAGATGAAGAGCCTCTTCACCCCATTTCTCAGCTCGCAACAGCCAAAGGTGGTCAACGGGTTCGCAGGGGGCCTTGGCCTGCCCTGAAGTCCCGCCAGTCTGTGGTTGCCCTTCATAGTGCCGCCCTGGTGGCCAGCAGGACCCGGGCCTTCCAAGAGCAGGGGGAGGCTGGGGTGTCCTCCGCACCTAGGCTCCGGAAAGTGGTGAGGCAGGCCAGTGTAGATGAGAGCAGAGAGGACGGTGGGGCCTAAGCCTCCGACTCTGTCCCCCTAGACACTAAGGGAGACTGGTCACAGCTCCCTAGAGGGGCGCCCTTTGCACCTATGGCCCCAACACTCCATATAGCTCCTCCCCAGCGACTCCCAGACCTTTGTCCCTTCCTGCAGCCTTAGGTCTCAGACCCAGGTCTACCTGTCAAGGGCTCAAGACTTTTTCTACGTAGGGTATATGGTAGAGCCGTTCAAGGTGCCTTGAAGGGTAATAAGACCCTCGTTTCTTTTTCCACTCACTCTAACACTTTGTGCAGCCATGGAATTAAAAGCAGACAGTTTTAGGGCAGGTTTTCTGGTTCACGTCCCCCCTGCCCTCAACTTCTGGCCATTCCGTCCTGTTCCTTCCTCTCCTAGTGCAGTCCTACAGGACAGGCAGCTAGGCCAGGAACCAGTGGCCACAAAGGCAGAGAGCACTTTCAGTCCCCAGCCCCACAGGCTCTGAGGCGCACACAGCACCCCCCCCCCCACACACACACACACAACCGACCAGAGCCTCTGCTGCTGTCCCGAGTCTCCTGTGGCCCTCACTGGGTCACAGGGCACTGGGCCGAAGAGTCTTCTCGTTCGTGAAGATCTCTGGCCAGTCAAGTTTTTCACAGCCGTATAGTACCTGGCTTTGTACTGAGAAATAAAGACATTTTCATATGAAGTTTTTTTCCATTTGGTGACAAAGCCATCTGTCTTCCAGTCAGATCCTTCTCTGTTTACACACGGCACTCCCCCTCTCCTACCCCCTCCAGCTTTCCGTGTCTCTCAGGTGTCCTGTGACAGACCTGTATTGATTGAGTGGTATGTTGGGGGAGGGAAAGGGGTAGCCAGTGCTATCTCCTCATCTCCAGGGCACAGCCTGGGTAAATGTTAGCCATCCTGCCCATCAACAGGTGCAGGGGAAGAAGCCTGATTGGGGTAGCTAGAGGAAGTTAGCTCTGAGTAAGTAGGAACCGCCACGGCCTCCTCCTCCGCCTGCCTGGACTAGACCAGGCCTGTCTTTAAGGCTCAGCTTCCTTTAGGACACTTGTGTTAGTCCTTGAGGATATTTGGGTTCCAAGAATCACCTTCTAAGCCCGGCACGCCTTTAATCCCATCACTTGGGAAGCAGAGGCAGGAGGATCTCTAAGTTCAAGGCCAGCCTGGTCTACAGAGTGAGTTCCAGGACAGCCAGGGCTACACAGAGAAACCCCGTCTCGAAAAACCAAAAAAAGAAAAAAGGAGTTAGCGCTTCCATCATTGTCGTTCCCGTCCTGGTCCCAAGATCACGCTCTGTGCTTTATGACACTGTGACACACTACACTGGTTTGGGCTAAGTGTGTTGTTCAGTGCCGGAACTGACGTGTCCAGTTTCATCCAGGTGTGTTTCCCAAACCCTCGGAAAATTCCCAGTCCTCCTAACCCTAAAGAGGAGAGCTCTAGGTAGGGAGACTTGAGTCTCAGACCTGGCTTCATCACTTCCAAGTCATGGCACCCAGAGTCTGTTTCTTTTTGTAAAACAAAGCAAACCTGGGAAGCCATAAGTGCCGCCCCCCCTCCCCACCCCCACTCAAAGTGCTCTCTGGAATAAGAGTCATTTAAAGCCCCCTGTGGCATGCATAGGGGCAGAAGGAGAGGTGCAGAGAAGCTAATTCCATTACTGACCCAAGGTGCTGAGCAAGCATGGGGCTGCCTTCCCACCTGCAGCTGACCGGGAGTCACACCAGACTGCTGAGGCCAGGGCTGGTGAGATCGTCATCGGCAGGAGGACAGCCCTGCTTCCTAAAGCTGGGACACAGTCATGAACTCAGCTCCTCCCAGCCCCTGTTCACAAGGACCCTAAGAAATAAGGACTCGGCATCGGGGAAACAAAGACTGGAAAGGAAACTATTTGCATCAAAAATACAGATAAGCAATTAAGATATGTGTATACAGCTGGGCGGTGGTGGTGCACGCCTCTAGTTCCAGCTTTTGGGAGGCAGAGACAGGTGGATCTCTATGAGTTCGAGGCCAGCCCAGTCTACAGAGCAAGATCCAGGACAGGATCCAAAGCTACACAGAGAAACTCTGTCTCGAGAAACCAAAATAAATGAATTAAATAAAAGGACTTGTGTATACAAAGCTTAAACAGATTGCTAAAGAGCTTAACAGAAAATGAGGATGTAGTCTCTGTCCTGCTCTTCAGTGACGCACTTCCGTATTCACAGGCCTCTGCGGCCCTCCAAAAATGCTCCATGGTTATGTAATCAAATACACTAGTGTGTGTATTCTTTGGAAATGTAGGTGATAGCATATAAAATCTTTAGTTACATTTGTGTACTCTGTGTGTGTGTGCACACAGATGCCACGGCTTGTGGTGAGGACAAGAGGACG